AAGGGTAACTTGTCTCTTATTTAAAGCCATCTTGATCTTTTGTAAAGACCAATGCATTACAAAAATGACATGGCATACAAGAGCTAGAAATATTCTACACCTGGTTTGCTCAAAAGATGGTCTTATTTTAACATAAGGGAGAATTTTACTAAGGTGTTCAGGAAATGCCTTTTTATGCTAATCATATCATTCAGCAAAGAAAGTTCAAGAGTCAGTTCCAGAAGGAAAATGATTTGCATTATGACTCAACTCTCCTGGACAGTGACAAAAATATACATATCCTTCCAGACTCTTAGAATAATGCTCAAGAGTCCTTTATGACAGTAAGCTTATGGTGGTCATTAGGTATCAGTAACTCTTTGGGACAATGTTCCATTGTTTGACACTATTGTTATGAAACAATGAACTTTTGCTTTCATTTTGCTTGTAGACAAAAATCACTGTTATTCAATGAACACAATATGGTCAATCCTATAACTCACAACCTACTGGCTTCTATTATATAGTATATGGACACCTGGCTGAACCAGCCTCTTTAAAAGATCCTCTATTTAACAATGTAACCTATGATGGAAAGTTAAAGCTGTGCTGCATTTAAAATATGGCATCACCACTATGCTCCATAAGATTATGAGGCTTTAATACCCTTAGACTTGAACAGAAATATAAACACAAAAGAGCATATGATTTAGACACTAATCTGATTCTTAGCTTTCAGACACTTTAATTTGTTTATATTGTCCTTTCTTTCATTGCCTTCTCTTTAAGCTTTGATCCTTGCATCAAAGTCTATGTGCTGTCCTCAATAAGGTTAATAGAAACCCATGTTATTTAAGAAACAAGCTTGAGTATTTAAAAATCTAAGACATCAGTTACTAAAATTGCAGGTCTACCACTAGATAATGATAATGTAATAGATGATATAAATACTAGAGTATTAAACAATCCAACGCCTGTATTTTCCAAAAGCAATGATAGGTCAAGAAAGTGAAGAGTAATTTTGTATTTTTAAAACCCTAAGCAAGAAGTTCTATCTAGTTTGATTTTAAAATAAGTAAGTAATGCTGTCAGTTAATTGCTGCCTTTATACTTCTTGATCCACACTCGGAATCAGAACACCAGTTCTGGCCAGTTTTTGCTACAAAAGAACCAAGTGCACAGGCACTAAAATAAGAATACGCTCTCATATGTGGCTGCTATTGCCAAATGAAGATTTTTCTTTGTGCCAAGACATGAATCAGGAAAAAAGATATCAAAAGTAAATCATTGAGAAAGAATAATAAATATGACATAAGGAAGTATAAATATTCAATTAATTACTACAAAAAATTTTAATCCTCTTAGTTGTAGAACCTAGTTTCCTCGTGGATACAGAAACCAAATTCAACCACCGTCTTCCACTGGGTCACACTCAGCCACTGTGAAGGTGCTGAGAAGGGCTCTATGGACATTCCGTTTAGAACAAGAAGATTGAACCTTGAACAGCATGGGTTTGAACTGCACCGGTCCACTTATACATGGATTTTTGTCAATAAATACTGTAAATCTATTTTCTCTTCCTAATAATTTTCTAGCTTACTTTATTATAAAAAATACAGTATATAATACATACAATGCAAAATATGTGTTAATTGGTTATATTATTGGTGAGGCTTCCAGCCAATAGTAGGCTATTAGTAGTTAAGATTTTGGAGAGTCACAAGTTATATTCACATTTTTGACTGATGCAGGGCTGACAACCTTAGCCCCCAAGTTTTCAAGGGTCCACTATATAATTTAATGAAGCATTCAGGCATCAGCAGACTAGCCTGCTACACTGGATAGAAAAAAAGCTATATTTTTTATCAACCCTTATACTTTATTTCTGTATCATTTCTTAGCTACTCCAGTTATCTGGAAATATTAAGTACAGGTAGATAAAAAAAAGATGTTCTTTGTCATCAGGCTGGAGGATCCATCTGACCTTATGCCCAGGAAAATACGCCTGCCCTCTTTGTTCCTTTCTTAACCCCCACACTAGGTGGCCGCTAACAGGGCCAGCAGGAAGAAATCAATGGCGCTCAAGTATAACGACAGTTCCAGCACTAGGTAATGGTTTCTAAAACTCTTATTCAAGGGTCGTATCTAATTTTTTTTGTTGTGTTTTTTTGTTTTGTTTTATTTTGTTTACCATTTGAAACCTGAGGACCAGATCATCTACAAACCCTGAATTAATGTTTGGAAACTTTTATCTTCTATATTTCTCTTCATTATATTCCATGTCCATGCCCTTCCCACAGTTATACCCCATCTTAATATGATGGTCAAAAGATCCAGAATATGGTCTTATTAATGAGGCATTAGGAAACTTTGGGATAAGTTAAAAATGTCTGGAATCAGAACAAAGGTTTAATTTAATAAGTTACTTTCTCTCGTCAGCTCAACTGCTGCTATTAAGATTTTTCCAGACAATGTCTAGATTTTTTCAAAGACCTTCTATTTTTCCTCTGTCCCCCAAACTCTATGGAAGTGTTTCTCAGTTTTTTTACATTATTGTCAATCCCCATGTAAGGATCCTTTTTAGATTTTTTTTTCTAATTGTGTCCCCTCCGTATGAAATATGAACACTACAGATAGACAGTTAACCTGTTTATATGCACTGGACCTTTGGAGGACCACAAACCATTGTAATATCAAAGATTTTTTTCACCTCTGAATATCCAGTTCTGACCTTTGGGGTCATATTGCCTCTCTTTGAGATGCATGCTCTATAACACAAGAATAATCTGCCATTTGAAGATTTCCCAAGCTAACCACACATTATAAGAGTTAATTTTTTTCACTCTGTTTATAACAATTCCTTTTAATTAAACTACCATTTCCCCTCTCCCAGTCTTGTTTATAGAAAGAGATTGACATTATGAAAAGTATTGAACATTTGTTTCTAGAATGCTCATTTTATTTCATCTACTTGAAATAGATGATCTACTTGATTATTTCTGTGCAGGTAACATGTTGTTTTAATTGCTGAGACTTTATAATAGATTCAAGTTTTTGAATATTTTATAATGGATTTTGACATTAAAACAATAAAATCAATCTGCATTTAAAAAAAAGTATTGAACAATCTAATCAAAATGTATGTGTATGTGTGTGTCTACTGTTAGAGTAATTGTAAAAGAGCTTTAGCTAAAATATAAAGAAATAAATCCAGGGTAGTTTTAAGAATTTTGATAAAACAAATCATTTGTGATATCGACTAGATAAGAGTTTTTACATAGAAAAATAAAACAAGATTATTCTTTCCCCCTCATAATATTATGAGCTGTATGACTTGGTTTTACTTGGAATCTTGGGTTAATGGGCAATGGTTACATACTTTTCATATTCTGTCCTTGACTTCTTGTAACTGATACTGAAAGGCCAAGGATTACAAAATTATGGCTATGAAGTCATGCAAATTATAAGTGGCATTTTACTCTACGGAGCTGAAAGGGCATATAAAGTGCAAACATTAACAAAACTAAAAACTCAACTGGAAGGAGATTGTTCCTTTTGGAAACATTAATGAGTAAAACAAAACTATAAAAGATTGCTCCTGAGCCTAAACCATTTTTTACATTTAATAAGGATATTTTGTACTTTAACTACTTTGGAAAGTTATCAGAAAGGCACTGTAATAAAGTAAGTCTATAACTCTAGGGGGATCTTCTGGCCGGGAGTTGACTATGGCTCCCCGATACCCTCTGCACACAGACAGCACTTCAGATGACTTGAACATACTGAAACCCACAGTCCATTTGTCATCAGAAAATATAATAAAGTTTTTTTGTTTGTTTCAAAGTTCAAAAGTCTTTCAGTGAAGTCCAAGTTAAGGTCATACCAAAAAAGAAATTAATAAGGGAATAAAGTGGCTAATATGAATTTACTAGAGAACAGTCACATATTGCCAGCTCACACAGCAATGCTATTAAGATTAGCTTGGTGATCTCCTTAGGGGAAGTGCTAGAACTTTAAGGAAGCAGAGGAAGAGAAAGATATTATTGATGAAGGAAAAATACAAAAGTCTATGGGTTAGTTCAGGTAGGTGGCTGAAACAGCTGCAAAATACTGGCAACATCAGCTGTACTTGAGAATTGAAAAATAAATCAACTTCAGATTTTGGTGGAGGCCTAGGAAATAAATAAAATAAGCTCAATTAAAATCTCTGGGACCCAATGATGCAGGTGTTCTCTGGAGTGAAGGAAAACAAAGAAGCCTGCTTGGGACCTTGCTGACAAGAGCTGTTTAAAGAGCTTTGCTTTTTGCAAACAGTTGGAAAGCCTTCTGTGTAAGAAGACTAATAGCAGAAAGCCGGTATCTCTGTGGTGCACATGGTACCCTATGAACTCTATTCTCCCAGACTGTGAGTTTCTGAGCCATTTTGAACCACGGTGGGGAAGTCACCCTGGGGACAGAATGGGCAACACGCTGCACACAACCATCTCATCAACATAAATATTCTACAGTAGTCATTCTGCCCAGAAGTGACTGAGGGACTGAAATGCATCATTCCTTTTTCCCTCCACTAAAAAATAAAAATTAAAATAAATTACCCCGAGAAAGTCACCCTTGAGTACCTCTACCTATTATAAATGCCTGATCTAGCCAAGTTTCAAGTTCAAAAGGTTAAGAGCTTGACCGATGGGCGGCGCAGCCTGCAACTTTCTGCTACTCCGTGGTTCTGATATCAGGGACTACAGGACACGAAAATGACTTTTCTGGAGTGTAGAGGGATGAACCACCAGACCCATTCGACTCCCCTCCGGCAGGCATCCTACGCCCCTCCGTCCCATTCCAGAAAAAGCGACTCTCAGGACTGCGGACAGGCACGAACCTCCCACCCCTCTCCACCACAATGCATTCACCACATGAAAGATTTTGAGTAGAGGGTGGGTAGAAGAAGAGATGGGAGAGGGCAATGACAACAAAAAGTGATTTTGTAATAAAAAATAAAATAAAATAAAACCTGAGCCTCTTACCATCTCGTCTGAGGTTGGCGTTGCGCAAAGCTTTGATGGAGGCGCCCTGTAGAGCTGCAGAAGTGTCCCGATAGCTGCAAAAGTTTGCGCAGACTAGAGTGTAGACGAGGATGAGCCGGTGCATTGGGATCAGCGACCGAGGGACACCGCAGCTCCAAGAGAAATACGAAAGCTCCGGGGACTGACGCCACGCCGCGCCGCGCCGCGCTTCTGCCGCCTGCGCTCGCCCAGCGACGGCCCGTCCGCTGTGCTAATCGCCTAGCTCTCCCAAACTTCCTGCATGCTGAACTTTCTGAGCGCGTGTGGGTGCCGCACTTCCTTGTGGTGCTGGGAGTTGATAAATGGTGACGGGACAAACAACAGGTTGACGTTTGTTCGCCCCCTCCGGTGGCCAGCGGCTGCAGCACAGGCTGCAGGGGGCGGGCGGCTAGGCTGCCCAGGCAGCTCGCGGAGCGCGGCGTCCTGCAGCCCCGGGCTGCGGCTCCAGCGCTGCGCGCGCCCGGGCTCTTCGCCGCAGTAGCAGTCCAGCTGCCCTGGCCAGGCTGAAGCCTGCTCTGCAACTGAACATGCCCAGTGTGACGGTGGACCAGGACCCTGGGATTAACCCTAGACTTTAGATCACAAAGGGAGCGGGGGTACAAGGTGGCCAGGAGGAAACAGAAGAAGGTAGAGTCCCAGAGCTTCTCCAGGGCTGACTGGCTCATTTACCCATAAGATACAGCTCATGCCTTGGCCATAGTGGGTTTTGGGGAGGGGGCTGCTGTTGGAAGTGTTTAGTTTGCAATAAATCTTGACTAGTTCTACTTACCCAAGATTTCACTCTGTGAAAAAGTGGAAAAATGCACTTGCAGAGGAGCTCAATATTGTGCTTTCCTTTGAACCTCAGTGAGTATGTATGACCTTAGCTGAGTCAAGGTTAATTTCTCAGGGGAACAGCAATCTGTTCTTCCTAGCTCACAGGTCTCTAGCAGTCATTGCCCATATGGTGAAGCGCATGCCCAATAAATTATCAAGGATGTTTTTATATGCCCCACCCCTACCCCCTCTTAGTTTGTATGGTTCTGGTGAGAATTATATGAAATAATTTTAGTATATTGTTTTGTTTGTAGCTGAATCCAAGTCCAAATTTACATATTTTTTCAGTTGCTCACCCATAAGATCTCGAAGGGGCATTTGCCTTTTTTATTTTATTTTATTTTTCCAGGCCTTCTAGCTCCTGCAAGTCAGAGGTATGAGAACTAAACAATATCTACCTAAAGAGAGCTGGAAGTGGCTGAGGAGGGTAGAAAGTTCGGAAAAGGTAGACTTGACAATTGCACCATCCAATGTTTACTAGGATACAGGTGTGCTTTCCACATACTCAAAGATTAATATGGTTCATCTTTTGTCATTTTTGCCTAAAACAGCGTTTTACAAACTGCTAGTATGTGGGTTGTGAAATCATTTTCAACCAACATTATCACCCTTTTTTTAATTAATACTTTATATTTTAGAGCAGTTTTATGTTCACAGCAAAATTGGGTGAAGCATATAGATTTCTGATACACCCTCTGCGTCCACACAGGGATAGCCTCTCTCATAATCAACATCGCCACCAGAGAGGTACATTTGTTACAGTTGAAGAATCTGCATAACAGCATGCTAAAAGCCCCAAGTTTACCTGATGGTGCTCTTGGTTACCTATGGTATGCATAAAGGTTACTTTATAATTCGTTCACTCTCAGTTTTGTTCATTTTATGGGCTTGATCAAGTATCTAACCATACATATTCATCACCATGGTATCATACAGAGTGTTTTCACTACTCTAAAAATCCTCTATGCTGAAGCACTATTCTTTAAATAAATGGTATGGAATACAGTGTCTTAGAGTCTTAATTATCAGGTTTTACTGAAGATAACAATATTAAGTATTGTTTCAAAACATACTCAGGGATATAAAAGTTATTTCTATGGGGCATGACTTAGAAGGTTTGAAAGCCAATGAAAAAAAGTTCTGATCACTCTATCTCAAAATATAAGCAATTCTTGGAGGAGGAAACTAAGGGAGGTATAAAACCTGCATTCAATCATTTATTCATTCAACAAGTTTAATTAGGCATTAAACTTTCACTTTGCCATGAGCCTAGTCTATAAATCCTGGGGAATCAAAGAGTGAGAGTATGAGGAACATCTTTAATCCATTGAAATTTATATCCTATTGGAGAATGACTATAGACACGTAAAACATATCTATATTAATATGAGGGTCAGAGATTGATGGGATTAGATTGTGGAGTTAATTAAAATATGTGGTTCCATTTTTGTGGTAGAAATGATCATTAAAATTTAATATCCAGCTCTGGACATGAGCACATATGAAAAATAACAAGTATCAAAATGCTAAAGAGGATTATTCATTTAAATACCTTATATTAAATATTAAATTTATAGCATAGAAAATACTGTTTCCAAGATACTAATAGATACAAGACATTGTGAATTCATAGTGTCAAATAATTTAGCTAAAAAAGTAAAAGACATCACATATTATCATCATGTTCTTGATTATTTTTAATGTCAGCAAATATCCAAAATCAATGATAAAACCAAAAAATTAGGTGCCCAAGCCTAACCAATTGTTGTGAACCTAGTTTTAAATGCTACATAATAATTAATTCTTACATATTAAATTGATTATATCAACTAAGGTATTATTGTATACAGTATAGACTCTTAATAAAAATATGTTGAGAGAGTGGGAAGGGTCTGATATAAAGATAAAATATAAACTATTTCAGCTTATTTCTCACATATATCTTAATCTAACTTTTCACAACATTGAATTTGCCATTATATTTTAAATGCCTATGGGTCAGTTAGAAGAACATGAAGCAACAAAATGAAATCAAAATTATAAATATTTATTACTACTTAGAACAATATAAATCAACTATTTGACATTTAGCCCTTGTTCAATGACATTCATCTAACTATAAAAGATAGCTGTATTGTTTAGAAATTTTTAAAAAATGACAGCAATTTATAACAGCTTGATTTAAAATGGCATTTATCTCAAACAAATATTCTGCCAGTAATTTCATAAAAAGTGTAGGTTAGGATTTGACACTATCTTTATCATATACTCTTTTCTGTACATTATTAGGAAAAAAGAATGATATTTTTCAGTACATTTTCAAATATGCTTGGCTTCTTTCTCTAACTCGCAAAAGTTATGGTGGAAAAGGAGCAAAACGTGGTTTGGCCTCTTTGAAGCCTTCTCATTCTACAAGTGGCTCGTACTAGAGCCTTTCTTTTTTAAGTAAAGGTCTAACTTACAACTCATTGCAGAACCTTTTTCTTGACTATAGAAGGGATGTTGTGAAGCCTACTCCATTCAAAGAGGACATCACTCTGTTATGTGTATAACGTATATCACTGTCCTCATTAGATCTCAAAAAATGCAAAAACACTGTGAAAGGACATCCTGCTCTGTCACTAAACTAATGAGTTTGGTCAACATTTAATTTTTATGGGACTTAGGTCACTTCCTATAAAATGGAAGCATTATAATCGATTACCTTCAAGGCTCTGTCAAAAATCTGAGTATTTTGTTTTATTTTTAAAATTTTGCCTTTACTCATAATTTTTTAATGACTTTATTTTTAGAGAGAGAGGAAGGCAGGGAGAAAGAGATGGAGAGTGAGAAACGTTGATGTGCAAGAGAAACATTGATCAGTTGCCTCTTTCATGACCACAGCCAGAGACCTGGCCCGCAACCTAGGCATGGGCTCTGAGCAGAAATTGAACACGTGATCTATAGGTTTGCAAGACAGCACCCCCCCCATCCAGCACCCCCAGTCAGGGCTTTATTCATATTTTTTTAACACGTGCTATATATGTATATTTATCAAACTCAAATGCATGTTAAATAGCTGTTAGAAAGTCTGATTATATACAAGAATACAATTTTCCTACAAATTTTAAAATCTCATTAATATATAATAAAATGATAGTTCAAAGTTAATAATTTAACATTAATAGTTACTTTTATTTTTCAAAATTATATTTTCTTTTAAAGAAATCAATGGATGAAATGTATAAAATTACAGAGGAAACATGTTTTGGTGGTAGAAATTACTATATAGATGAAATATAGTTGATTAAAAGTATGACAAATTGGAAAAGAGATTGACTATGATGCTTTAAGACATTTAGCAAAAAGATTATGACCTATGACTTGACTCAGAAAAACTAGGTTAAACTCAGTTTATTTTCAATATATAAAAGATTATGTTTGAATATTTGGTGCCAAAGAATGAAATTAAATATTCATAAAACTACAAACAGGTAATTTTTCTAAATTGTTCCAAATATTTTGAAATACCTAGAATACCAACATGGTTACAGAATATTTTTATCAAGTATGTGTAAAATATTTTATTAAATTATGTTGACTCATCATAAGCACACCATTTTGAACCCATCTAATGATTGTCTCTTAAGAATTAAAGTTATCCTTTTGTTAAACTCTTTCATATTTAACTGAGTTATTTGCCAATAAATATGTATCATATTTATTCCTTTATTCCCATGTTTATCAATAGTAATGTAAGTTGTAGAAAGACTTTTTAAGCATCTTTCCTTTAAAAGTGTTATGCTCTCTGTGTTTGAGGAAGAAGGAAATTACTTTGAAATTAGGGCTCTTTAGAGAGCTAAAACGTTAATTTATTTAATTCATTTCAAAGCAGCGTTAATTTCCCTTTCTTTCCAGTTACTGAGGGAGCATATGCCCTGAGCATTGCCTTTTCTCAACAGACCATGATACTGAGTTCATTCTTGTTAAGTATTTATCTTTCAAATTGTAATTTCAGTGGCACATACTAAATGTATACCATAAAAATACAAGACAACTATAATGATCTTTCTTCCTATTTGGTAGACTCAAATGCACACATAATTTCTATTTTTCAGGTCCTAATTTGAAGAAAATCATAGTATATGATAATACGGTCATACGCCCAGATTTGTTCAATTTATACTACACTGTATGGTTTGCTCTGTACATAATGTGTGTACACAATTACTACATTTTTCCTAGAGTCCTATATAACATGTCAAATAAAATTTATTCAGCTATAGTGCTGACACATTTTGAACAGTAATTTTCAGATTTGAACTTTTATAAATGGTTGTAGGTAAGACTATGAGTTTGACTCATTGATAACCAATAGCCTCAATCAATCACATACTCTGTTCTGTCAAGCATTAGTTTCCTTTATTTCACTGAATGAACCAGTGATTCAGCTCAATAGAGTGAGTCATTAAGTTCTAAGCCTACCATGCAAAATAATCCCTATATCTTTAATTTTTCTTCAACTTATTTATATTTTTACTTACATA